TGTGTGTGTGTGACACATACTGTCTTCCAAGTGCATGAGAATTTCTTGAACTTACTAAGAAGAAGTTAATTTATGGGGCCGGCACTATGGTATAGCAGATAAAGCCGCCACCTGCAGTGCCCGCATCCCATAGGGCACTGGTTTGAGTCCTGGATGCTCCACTTCTGATCCAGCTCTCTGCTATGGCCTGGAAAGCAGTAGAAGATGGCCCAAGTCCTTGGGCCCCTGAACCTGTGTGGGAGACCCGGAAGAAGCTCCAGGTTCCTGGCTTCAAATCAGTGCAGCTCCGGTCATTGCGGCCAATCGGGTAGTGAACCAGCAGATGGAAGACCTCTCTCTCTGTGTCTCTCTTTCTTTCTCTGTGTAACTCTGGCTTTCAAATAAAATACATTTAAAAAAAGAAATTAATTTGTAAAAGTCAACATGGGGATTAAGGAGTCACCTATTATTAAGCAAAAGCTCTAAGAAAGCAGAGGCCTGGAGTCGGGGCTTCACGGTCTGTGATGAGCGCAGTTACACAGGGCCCAGGTTCCAGAGGGAACCCCGTGCTTGGGATTTAATAACATTTTTTTCATTGAACTTGTGTTTTCTGAGAGAAATCTCATGAGACGGTGGGACATATGCCAGGCACATAAAGCCTGACTCATGTGCCGTCTCATGTCCAGCCCCCTCCCACCTGGTAGCCACCACTACTGCCCTCCCTCACTGGGGGCCTGGGCATGGTCGAGAAGGGGTTGGAGTTGGCTGGGACCACCAGTCTCCTGGGGACCTGCATTCCCTTCGGAGAGTTGCAGTAAATTCCCAATTAAAAAAAAAAATCACCACCATGGTAGGGCCAGCAAGTACAGCTTAAGACAGGGAAGAGCTTTCCTCTTGCCTTTTTTTTTTTTTAAGATTTATCTTTATTTATTTGAAAGAGTTACAGAGAGAGAGAGAGAGAGAGAGAGAGGTCTTCCACCTGCTGGTTCACTCCCCAAATGGCCCCAACAGCCGGATCTGAGCCAATCTGAAATCAGGAGCCAGGAGCTTCTTCCGGGTCTCCCACATACATGAGTGCAGGGCTCCAAAGACTTGGGCCATCTTCCACTGCTTTCCCAAGCCACAGCAGAGAGCTGGATTGGAAGTGGAGCAGCCGGGACTAGAACTGGCGCCCATATGGGATGCTGGCACTTCGGGCCAGGGCTTTAACCCACTGCACAGCGGTGCCAGCCCCATCCTCTTGCTTTTTGAACAAGGGGCCCAGCACTGCCGTTTAGTGGGACCAGCCCCAGTCTAAGAGCCTTGCTGCTAATCCAAGTGTGGTACCAGGCCAGCATCGTGGGTGTCCCCTAGGGGCGCATTGGAAACACTGAACCCAGGCCCTTCCCAGTGCTGCTAAAGCAATCTGCACTTTCACAGGATCCCTTGGGTGATGCCTAACAGTCCAGGATTCAGTGACCCGTTAGGTGGCGTCTGTGATTCTAGCTCCCGTGGTTTTCACTGCAACTGTTAAGTGCGTCATGCTTCTCTCTGACCTCAGGCAGCTGCTACTTTGGGCTGGGAAGGACAAAAACTGGCAAAAAGGGCTGATAAGAAAATAAGAGTTGCTGTCAGCCCCAAGTTCTGCTAACTCTGTGGTTTGAAATTGTTTCCCGGGACCGGCGCTGTGGCGTAGCGGGCAAGGCTGCTGCCTGCAGTGCTGGCATCCCATAGGGGTGCCGGTTCATATCCCAGCTGCTCCACTTCCAATCCAGCTCTCTGCTGTGGCCTGGGAAAGCAGTGGAAGATGGCCCAACTCCCTGGCCCCAGCATCCACCCAGAAGACCCAAAAGAAGCTCCTGGTTCCTGGCTTTGGATTGGCCCAGCTCTGGCCATTGTGGCCATTTAGGGAGTGAACCAGCAGATGGAAGACCTCTTTCTCTCTCTCCCTCTGCCTCTCTGTAACTCTGTCTTTCAAATAAATAAATCAGAATCTTTAAAAAAAAAAGAGAGAGAGAGAGAAATTATGTTTTTCCTGTACTCTACCCTCGAGCTCAAGGCTTAGCAGCGTCTTCCCCAGCAGTGCTGAAGGGAACGGGGCAGCTTAAAATAAACCGCCGTTCTCCTGGAAATTGCGTTGACCTTTATCTGCATAAGCCTGCAGCACTCGGCAGCTCTCTGCAAGAGGGGGGAAGCAGCACCTACCTTTCGTTTTAGCTCACATGGGGGTTGGGTGACATGGTGTGATTGCTGTCGTTTTAGTAACTTCTCGGGTTCTGGGGGAGATGTTTATAAAAAGCAACCCATGTGACTAGGACATCAGTCCTTGTGCCTTCCTCATCCTCCTCTGCTCCCCAGCACTCCCTCGGCCAATGTTGGTGGGAAGATGGCAGTGAGGGCCGAGGCAGGTTTGGCCTTCCGGTGTGGAAGGAGCGGTCTCTAGGAGTGAGAGAAAAGGGGTGATCAGTTCCTGGCACTGTGTCTTCAACACAGAGGCACAACTGGTGGCGTACTAGGAAGAACACATTGTTCATTTAACGAACTGTAATAAGCCCTTTACACAAGTTAGACTTCTTGATCCAATAATTTGTTATCGGGGATACAGCCTGGAGAAAGCTCAGACAATTTTGACAGAGATAAGCAGGAGAATATTCATCTCAATGAGAGCAAAAGCGTAAGAGCAAAGAGTGCAAAGTGGATGCATGCCCCAAGGGATGTGCAAGAGGAGAGTGTATGTGAGAACTATCAGGACATGCATTTCAGTTTCCAAATTAAAAAATGTGAGAACTTGGAGCCAGTAAAGCTGCCGCCTGCAGTGCCAGAATCCCCTATGCGTGCCGGTTCGAGTCCCGGCTGCTCCTCTTATGATCTAGCTTTTGGCTGTGGCCTGGGAAAGCAGTAGAAGATGACCCACGTCTTGGGTCCCTGCACCCACATGGGAGACCTAGAAGAAGCTCCTTGCTCTTGGTTTCAGATTAGCCCAGCTCCAGCTGTTGCACCCATTTGGGGAGTGAACCAGCAGATATAAAACCTCTCTCTCTGTGTAACTCTGATTTTCAAATAAATAAATAAATTGTTTTTAAAAATATATAGAACAAAAAGCTTTGCTAATCTGTATCATGGGGCATTGGCTCCTGATTCCTTGATTGGTCCCTGAATCACACCAACACCTGTCACACGAGATCTATTGAAAAAAGAGCAGGAATTCCGCAGTGCGGTCTCAGCTCAGGTCCTTTCTCTGACACTGCAACCACGTGGATATCACTTAGGAGGAAATGTTAGAGTGTGCAGAGTTTCTCACTGTGAGATGTGGGCACCTTGTGGGAGAGATAAGGTCCAGAGAGGCCAAGGCAGCCAAGAGCTGAGCTGAAAACCAGCTCTGTGGGTCACCCTAGGGCTGAGCATGTGGGACCAGCTTCAGTGTCTTTTATTTTTTTAATTATGAACTTTGTTTTTATTTTTAAATTTTTGGATTAAGATGAAATACATGTACATTCTTTTATTTTTTTAAAGATGTTTTAAATTTATTTATTTGAAATAGTAAAAGAAAGGGAGGGAGAGACAGAAGGAAAAACAGATCTTCCTTTCACTGGTTCACGCCCCAAATGGCCACTGCAGCAGGGGGTTGAAGCTTGGAGCCTGGAACTCCAACCAGATCTCTCATCTGGGTGCCAGGGACCATCTTCTGCTGCTTTCCCAGGCACATCAGCAGGGAGCTGGATAGAAAGCGGAGCAGCCAGAACTTGAACTGGCACCCATATGGGATGCTGGCATCACAAGCTGCAGCTTAACCTGCTGTGCCACAATACCAGTGACAATACCTGTACACTGTGTGTGCAGTATCTCAACAGATATACACAATGTAAACCAGTCACAGGTCCTTAGCCCTGGCGCTTCCTTTATCATAGACTATAATTACCACACTGTCCTGCCAGAACCTTCCTGCCTCACCCGACTGCCTTGTAGTTTCTTGATGGGCAGGAGTGTGGTTTCTTTCCCTTCAGTCTGACATGTTTTGTCAGGGACTCCAGGGTGTCCCAGAAGGGAAGAAAATGCAGCTCTCGCAATACGCAGATTTCACAATTTCACAGCTTTCCTTTGCAACGCCTTACCTTCTGAACCTGACCTTGGCCTTCTGCTCACTTCTGCTGGAATTCAAACCTGCAGATGACTCACTGGTCAGCATTCTGTTTTCCACTGCAGAAAAGCAAGTGCTCAGGAGTGAGGTTAAGATAAAGGGGGCAGGAGGAATAAGCCTAATAGAAAAATTTCTTGATCACTTAAAAAAATACCCACAGCTGTTGAAAGGGACTGGCCAAAGGCCCCCAAGAATCTTTTTCTTTTTTTTTTTCATCAAAGATTTATTTATTTCGTTGAAAGGCAGAGTTACTGAAAGAGGGAGAGAGAGAGAGAGAGAGAGAGAATCTTCCTTCTGCTGGTTCACTCTGCAAATGGCCATGATGGCCAGAGGTGGGCCCATCTGAAGCCAGGAGTCAGGAGCTTCTTTTGAGTCTCCCTCATGGGTGCAGGGGTCCAAGCACTTGGACCATCCTCTGCTGCTTTCCCAGGCCATAGCAGAGAGCTGGATATGGAAGTGGAGCAGCTGGGACTGGAACCAGCGCCCATATAGGATCACAGCACTGCAGGCAGCAGCTTTACCCGCTACACCACAATGCTGCAATGCTGGCCCCTGTTTGTTTTTTTTTTTTTTTTTTTTTTTTCTCTTCTTCTGTGGATACATCTCTCCTTGAATTGGCTAGTGTTAAAAGCTCCCCTTTGAAGTAACAGTGTTCTGTTTAAACAATCCTTTTCGAGAGTGGCTTAGTCCTAGAATTCCTTGTGCATATTAAACCTGTAAATAATCTTATCATTTGGAGTAAATCTCCTTAATGTCCATGCTATAATTGAATTGCTTCCTAATTAATGCACCATTACCTTGAAGCAAAGGTGGATTAGCTCCTGTTTTCTGATTGCCCTTGAATGTCACCTTGACGTTGCAGGAGCGCTGATGAAGTCACTGAGGGTTGTGTGTTGATTTTCAGACACAAGGACCATCACCACCAGCGTGGCTGCAGACACGTCCCCAGGAACAGCCGTTGTCAGCAGCGCCTTGGCGGGGACCAAGGTGAAGCGCCTGAGGGAGTAAGTGGCATGCTGTCGGAGCTGCGGGGGCCGGGGCAGGGTGTGGTGTTAGGACACACTGGCCGGGGCCCAGTGATGCTGCTGTTTGTGCTGCTGTAACATTATGCACATAGAGCAGGCATCCAGTTACTTCTCGCAGTTTCGGAGGCTGGGAAGCACAAGCCCGAGGTCCCGGCAGTGACCGTGCCTGGCACTGGCACTCCAGAGATGGTGTCTTGTTCCAGAGTCCTCACGTGTTGGGAGCTGGAAGGAAGGGCCAAGTAGGCCACGCCCTGTGGGAAGGGTCTTAATCCCATTCCTGAGGGAGGACTCTTCTTGATGTAACCCCCTCCTAAGGGCCCCACCTCTTGCACTGAAGGCTAACTTTCAAGATACGAATGATGGGGGAACACATTCACACCATAGCGTTTCACAAAATCCATTACCTTTTCACACACAAAATACATTGATCCCATCCCAGTAGCCCTCAGAGTTTTAACTCAGTCTCGCATGAACTCAAAAATCCGAAGTCCAGAGTCTCATCTAAGTATCAGCTAACTCGGATACTGGTGACACTCAAAGGGATGATTCATCCTGAGGCAAATTCGCCTCCAGCTGAGTGCCTGTGAAGTCAACCAAGTTTCCTGCTTCCAAAATACAAAGTGGGGGACAGCCCTGGCCCTGGGGCAGCTCTCAGCCTGGCCCCAATGCTTTCTGAGACATCATTTGAAATCTAGATGGGGCGGCTCTGTGGCGCAAGGGGTTGCCTATGGTGCTGGTTTGAGTCCTGGCTGCTCCTCTTCCAATCCAGCTCCCTGCTAATGGCCTGGGAAAGCAGTGGGAGATGGCCCAAGTCCTTGGGCCCCTGCACCCATGTATGTGGGAGACCGGAAGAAGCTCCTGGCTATTGGCTTTGGACTGGCCCAGCTCCGGCAATTGTGGCTGTTTGCGGGAGTAAATCAGTGGATGGAGGACCTCTCTCTGTGTCTCTCCTCCTTCTCTGTCTGTAACTCTGCCTCTCAAATAAATAAATGAATCCTTAAAAAAAGAAAATCTAGTGGAGGTGCCCATTTCTCACAGCTCTTGCTCTCCATGCACCTGCAGAGCTGGCGTCACCAAGGCATTGGATAGACATTCTCATTTCTAAATGGAGAAATAGGAAGGACGGAAGGGATAACAAGTACCAGGGAAGTCCAAGACCCAGTGAAGCAAACAACATTAAACCTTGATCTTCTGCCGGGCTCTAGTCCCAGTTGCTCCTCTTCCAGTCCAGCCCTCTGCTGTGGCCTGGGAGGACAGTGGAGGATGGCCCAGGTATCTGGGCCCCTGCACCCACATGGGGAGACCAGGAAGAAACACCTGGCTCCTGGATTCAGATCAGCGTAGTTCTGGCCGTGGTGGCCATTGGGGAGTAAGCCAATGGAAGGAAAACCTTTCTCTCTGTCCCTCTCTCTCACTCCCTATGACTCTACCTGTCAAATTAAAAAAAAAAAAATCATGATCTTCTCTTTGATTCTGTGTCTTGTCTTCCAGACAAAATGTAGTCACACACTTGGTATTCTTTACTGAATTCACTTGTTTTTTCTTCCTTTTTTTAATGATGTATTTTATTTATTTGAAAGGCAGAGAGAGAGAGAGAGAGAGAGATCTTCCATCCACTGGTTCCACTTCCCAAGTAGCCACAATGGCCAGGGTTGGGCTGGGCCAAAACCAGGAACCTGGAGTTTCATCCTGGTCTTGTACATGGGTACAAGGGCCCAAGCACTTGGGCCATCTTCCACTGCTATCCCAGGCACGTTAGCAGGGAGGTGGATTGGAAGTGGAGCAGCTGGGACTCAAATTGGCCCCAATATGGGATGCCGGCATTGCAGGCAGGGGCTTAACCTGCTACACCACAGCTCCGGCCCCTTGTTTTCTTATTCTTAACACAACCAGGCTGAGGATGTTCCAGATTTTTAATTTCTACTTCCCTTTTGATGGTAAAATTTGTCTTATTATCTAATTTATTTTCATCTCACATTTTACTATAGGCATCCTAACACCTTTTTTTTTTTTTAAAGAATGATTTTATTTATTTGAAAGACAGAGTTACAGAGAGAGGTAGAGACAAAGAGAGAGGTCTTCCATCCACTGGTTCACTTCCCAGTTGGCTGCAACAGCCAGAGCTGCGCCCATCCGAAGGCAGGAGCCTGGAGCTTCTTCCAGGTCTCCCACGTGGGTGCAGGGGCCCAAGGAGTTGGCCATCTTCTACTGCTTTCCCAGGAGTAGAGAGCTGGATTGGAAGAGGGGCAGCTGGGATTTGAACCCGCAGCACCACAGCACCAGCAACACTTTAAAAAAAAAAAAAAAGATTTATTTTGTTTATTTGAAAAGCAGAGTGATGGAAGTTGGGGGAGAAATCTTCCATTAGTTCATTCCCCAAATGGCCACATCTGTCAAGGATGAGCCAGGCCACAGTCAGGAGCCTGGAATCCATCTGGATCTCCCATGTGGGTGGCAGGGGGCCAAGCACTTGGACCATCTTCAGCTGCTTTCCCAAGCACAGTAGCAGTGAGCTGGATGGGAAGTGGAGCAGCTGGGACTTGAACTGGTGCTCTTGACGTGGGATGCCAGCATCATAGGTGGTGGTTTAACCAGCTGTGCCACAATACCAACACCATCCTCAACACTCCGCTTGGATATTTCTTCTGCTAAATATCCTAGTTCCTCTCTGGCAACTGCTGCCATCCAAAAAGCACTAGAGCACAGAATCGTTCCTCCAGGTTCTTTTCCCCTTTACATCAAGGATGATCTGCTCTCCAGCTTCCAGGCATGGTCTCCTCATTTCCATCTGAGTATTTACCACCTGCATTGCTGCCAAAGTCAGTTCAGGGCCACTCAGATATCTGTAGGAAGATCAATTCGGTCTCTACAGCTCTCTTCTTCCGAGGCCTCCCTAGAATACCCACAACCATCCAGCCTCTACCCACTCCCCAGTTCCAAAGCTGTGTCTATATTGTTAGTATTTGTTATAGAAAACCTCAATCCTCGTCGCCAAGTTTTGCGTTAGTGCATTTGTGCCACTGTAACAAAATGTCAGACTAAGCAATGTATATACAGTATAACTGATACCGGGATTGACCCCCTAAAATATGACATCGAATGTGCCCCCTTAAAGTTCCCCAAAAGGTCCCATCTGGGGTGCCATATGAAATTGGAATTTGGAGTGCCATACAATTCCACTGTGTGTTTATTAATACATTCCCAACATTAATAAGCCCGTGTGGGTTCTTGCCCAATATTCCGAGAAGAATTCTGAATACTGGAATAAATGAACGAGGAAGCATAATACATTTTTAAGCTTTTATTCAGTGAGAAAGATGCATAGGAGAGTGAGGGCTTTATCTGAAAGAGAGGGATAAATTGGGTTTGTGCAGAGTACCAGGAACCAGCCACATGGAGGAGCATCTAGGCCAGGAAGCATGGGGTGGGTGGCCCAAAGGCCATGCACCCTAGAGGCACAGGGCCACAGCAAGCCCCATACTGGCAAAAGGCCAAAGAAAGGAAGGGGCGGGCACATCGTGACCCAGGCTTTTAATCCACTTTCAAAGGGGAGTGGTTAATTAGCCTGATTGGCCAGTGGGTGCACAGGTGGCCAGGTAGGAGCATGGCTCACACAGGAGTATGGTGAAGGCGTGGTCTTCCAGCTCACCTAATCAACTTCAACCTGTATGCCTGCCTAGATCATAACTGTCTTACTCAGATTTATGGATGCTGGGAAGTCCAAGATCAAGGGCCTAGCAGGTTTGGTGGAGCCCTCATGGCCTAATCTTCTCCTAAAAGACCCTACTTCATCACCATCTTGCCCTGAGGATTCAGTTTCAACATGCATTTTGGAACACACACAATCATTCGGATGGTAGCAGATGCTATTCCACTTGATCTTCACAGAAACACGACTGTACTTCCCTACATACAACTGTGAATAGAGCAAGCAAAAGCTCAGTCGGAAAGGCCTGGATCTCTGTCACTGGTGCTTGCTGCAGACTTCTTGGCAAGGAAGAGGTGCCCAGCCTCCCAGTCCACCTCCTCCCATTCAGCCTTTGTCTCAGAGGTTGGCAAGCTTGCCCTGTAAAGGGCTGGGCAGTAAACATTTTAGTCTCTCTTGGCCATACAATTTCTGTCACAGTTACTCAACTCTGCAATTGTAGCACAAAAGCAGCCACAGGTAATATGTAGCTAAATGTGGTTGGCTGTACTTTATTTTTTTTTTTATTTTTTTTTTTACTTTATAAATTAGTTTTCTTGATTTTTTTTTATCTTTTATTTAATGAATATAAATTTCCAAAGTACAACTCATGGGTTACAATGGCTTCCCCCCCCCATACCGTCCCTCCCACCCACAACCCTCCCCTTTCCCACTCCCTCTCCCCTTCCATTAACATCAAGATTCATTTTCGATTATCTTAATATACAGAAGATCAGCTTAGTATACCTTAAGTAAGGATTTCAACAGTTTGCTCCCACACAGAAACATAAAGTGAAAAATAATAGATGATTTTTTTTAAATGATGATGAAATCAGATCAGACCTATTGTCATGTTTAATCCCAGTGAGAGTCCAGTTGGGAATTGATAATTTTTTTTTTTTTACAGAAGATCAGTTTAGTGTACATTAAGTAAAGATTTCAATCGTTTGCACCCCCATAGAAACACAAAGTGAAATATACTGTTTGAGTAGTCGTTATAGCATTAAGCCTCAGTGTACAGCACATTAAGGACAGAGATCCTACATGAGGAGTAAGTGCACAGTGACTCCTGTTGTTGACTTTACAAATTGACACTCCTGTTTATGGCATCAGTAATCTCCCTTTGCACCAGTCATGAGTTTCCAAGGTTATGGAAGCCCCTTGAGTTCTCCGACTCTTATCTTGTTTAGACACGGTCATAGTCAAAGTGGAGGTTCTCTCCTCCCTTCAGAGAAAGGCACCTCCCTCTTTGAAGACCTGTTCTTTCCACTGGGATCTCACTCACAGAGATCTT